AGTGTTAGTATGTATAAAGGATATTAAACCCGAAACATAGGTTGCAAATTACGGTCTGCCCCAAAAAACAGCAAGTGTTAGGACGTGGAATGCATATTTCTGTTCTTTTTTAAAAATTCACAAATTGCAAAAAACGCTCAAAAAATTAATTACAAAATCATATAATTATGTGACACTATTTAATTATGGGGCAACCTTAATTAAGCCCTCATATTAACATGAAAAATGAAAAAAAAAAAAAATTGCTGACAGGCACATTTAATGAAGAAAATTAGCATTGGCCAAATGCCCGTGGACCCACACTTTTCTCTTTCTTTACTTCATCCTTCCTTTTGACCTTTACCCTTTTTTTCTTTGAGAAACACCTTTACCCTTTTCTTTCTTGAGTATTATCAAAAGCTTCGCGGCCGGTTACATCTAATTCTCCATTCCCAACAACCATTTTCTCTACCCGTTCATCTAACAACTCAAGTGTATTCACAAAATTCCTATGAATTAATTTCTAATGGTAGCTTGAAAAATAACTGAAAGTATTCCTATAGTAACGAATGAATTTGCGAAAAAAAGTGAACTTTTAAGTTTTTATTGTGATTTTTTGGGTGGGTTTTGTTCGATTTTAATGGGAAGAAAAGCTAATCAACATGAACGAAGAAGATATGGTAGGGGTGGGTATAGAGGACTAGATCCAGCAAAGCCACAGCCTCTATCAAGGTCACTTCCACAGCCACCGCGAGATGGGAAGGGTGAACAGATCTAGCAACTAAAGCTACTGAAATCTACATCTATCTAGCTTATACTTCAAAGGGGTACTCTCCAATCACAAAGATCTTCACGCACGCGTCCCATGGGTGAGCATATGCATAGAATGTTGAATAGTTTGAAAAGTAAAAGTTCAACGTATGGGAAGAATAAGGAAATAAAGGGATTTTTATATGTTTATTTATTTTTTTTTTTGTTCATAAACAATTATGAAAAGTTGGAATTCAAACCGTGTGAGTTTTAAGTTTAGGTCTTACCCCTTTATATTATAAGTGCACGTGAGATTGTAGTTGGTTGTTTTTTTTTTGTAATTATATAGTGTTTTTAGATGAATATGTGTTTGATAATTTT